GGTGCTGAAGAGGTCTGTGAGATCCCCAGAAGTGCATCAGATGAGTTTCTACATCCATTTTCTGCTTAAGATTGCCTTTGCCACAGAGGTATCAACCTCAGCCTCCTTTCCCAGTATCACCCCCACATCATCCCACACCACTCTGTGTCCTGAGTTTCATTAACACCGGATGCCTGGATGAAAGCTCAGTCCCCAGGATAAAGGCAGCGTCTCTCCAGTTGTGCTGGCAGGGAGGGGGTCCCCAGGAGGGGCTGTGGGTACAGAGGCTCCTAACCAGCTCACCCTCTGTGCGGGGTCAGCCTGCATCCCTGGAGCTGTGCACCAGAGCCTCCTGGGGCTGGCGGGGCTGATGTGGGGCAGTCGGGGCAGTGTTGCCGAGCCTTGGCATTCCTGCTGCGAAGGGAAATTCCCGGAGGAGCAGACGAGTGCTCGGCAGCACGTTGATTCCTTTGATCGCAGAGCATAAAGCAAAACAGGCCAGTTGTTGATTTGTGTTCGCTGCAGCTCTGGGCTCTCCCCAGTCCCCTTCAGATCCATATTGTGGCTATCAGGCTTTTCTTGTTCAAACAGTAAAAGTTAACGATGCCCTTTCATCCCCACGTTGCAGGGGGCTGGCCCAGCCTGCCTTGCACGGGGAGCAGCCGGTCTGTGCCGTGCGGGGTCCTGCTGTCCCCTGCCGGGCGTCCCCAGCACGGCTCGCACGGCTGCCCGGGGCCGAGACTGCAGAGGGCATCGTTCTGTTATAGCAAAGGGAGGGACAGCGCATGTAAGGTCCTCTCTTTAGCTCTGCTGGTTCTGTGACTGCAGGCAGCCCTCTGCCATGTTTTTCCCTGGCTCAGGAGCGGAGGAAGGTCTGCCAAGCTCGCCTCAGGATGCTGTCAGTACATTCAGACTGTTCTGGAAAGCAGTGGACCTCTGGGGATACAAGGCAGAGTGAAACTCTTGCTGACTGCAAGGAGATATTCACAGCCAGTGAACCCACAGCTGCAGCTCATTGGTGCTTCCAATCGACTGGGTCCATCTGCCATCAGCCTGCGGTTGTGACACTCCATGTCCCCTCCATGGCAGGTGACCTGGTGGAAGGAGAGCACAGGGAGGCAGCACCTGGCACCACTGCAAAGGCTCTGGGCAGCTGCTTGCTGGCTCCCTGTCCTCTGGTGGGCCAGGAGAGCATTGGTGTCAGTCTGTCTTAGCTGGACACTCTGGTGGGAGCGCCTCAGCTGCTGCTGCTCAGAGAGGGACCAAGGCTGCTGAGCAAAGCTACCTGACATAGTGGTTATAGCTGAGGGCTGAGGAGAGAAGGTGAGAAATATCAGAAACCAATTTCCAGAAAACTGTCCAAGGCAGTTTGGGAACTGCTTTTGTACTTTGGGCAAGCTAAGCATGTTCCTGTAGGTTTCTTCCAGAGCATGATTTGTGGTACCCTATGCCCCAGGGTAGGACCTCCACCATCTGCATCACTCCTGCAGCATCACCATTTTGCAGAGACAAACATGAGGTGAGTGTGCTGCTCCCCTACATCCTTACTCGGGCAGCCAATCCCAGTGCTGCCTTGGTCACAGGAGAAGGGCCATGGTGGTGATGCCACACAAAACTAACTTGAGCAAAGTGTGAGCAGGGAGAGATGAAGACACAGACTAACACGACCATGAAGCCATAACCCTGAGATTAAATCCTCTCAAATCAGCCCATACATCCTGGGAAGCAGACTGTAAATGTGAATCCTGGCTGGCAGCCAAAGTGCAAATTGTAAATCCCTTGCAAGAGAAGTGGTTTAATGTGCTGTGGGGACCACTGCTGTTACGTGTCCCAGAACAGCCTGTGCTGGTGCATAGGTTTTGCAATGTTGGTTACAGGCTATTAAACCCTCTAAGCTCAGAAGTCATCAGTCCTCTTCTGACTGCATAAACTCATTCCTAAAAACCTCACTAAAACACACCTTCATTAAGGGTATCATCTCCCCACTTGAACAGAGACAGAAGGAGAAGGGATCCGTCTACCAAGAAAAATCAAGTTCATGTGAGGTGGCTTTGTAGGAGCACTAGCCAAAAAAATCCTAAATGGAGGGAAGGAGCTGCTAAATGGGTGTTGATACAAATGAAGTCTGAGGATACCAGCTCCCTCCATGCTACCCTGCTGGGCAGTGGAGTGAGAGAAACACCTAGGAAGAGTGAGTGAGGCCTTATGCTGCCCCAGGCTAAGGGTCTCCCCACATGGGGGACAAGGACCCTCAGGAAGGCAAATATAGGCCCACTCAGAGGATGGAGGTTGGGCAGTAGCCAAAGGAACATGGAGAGGAGATGGGAGTTTTAAATTGTTAATGTATTAATCTGCCTTTTCCAAATAGATTCTGTTCCTCCATGACCACCACCACTGGCACCCATACATTTACATTTATTTCAAACCCTGAGGCATGTTGCTTTCCAGAAAGGAAACATTGCTGTCAAGGGCACTCAGAGAAAGTCATGTACTTTCTGGGTGAGAGCTCAGTGAAGTTTAATAAGAATGCCAGAGTAAGAGCCCAGTATGCTGCACTGCCCATGGTGGCTAAGAGGACCCCCACCTTGGGAGGAGGCAGCAGCTTGCTGCCTTGAGCACTGCTGGGTGCTGAAGGATGGGTGGTCAGGGCTGCACTGTTTTCTGCATCTCTTCAAGACTAAGCTCATGGCTCTAACTGATTCTGAAAGACTCTTATGTCTTCCTTTCCTCTATTTGCTTTTAAAGTCGTTTTCTACTTTTCATATTTGTAAAGAGACATCAGTGTTAAAAAAAGAACATGACAGCCAGGAAAAAAGCATCCAGACTGTTTGCACAACCTGAAAGAACCTGCACAACCTGTGCAGCCTGGGAATCCCTGAGATTTGCTCAACTGGTTGGAGCATGGTGCTAGTAACACTAAGATTGTGGGCTCAATCCACATTTGGGCCATTTACTTAAGAGTTGGACTCGGTGACCCTTGTGGATCCCTTCCAACTCAGAGTATTCTGTGAATCTGTGTCCTGTAAATGCCAGGGCCTTTAGGCTGATCTGGTGATTACTGGAGGCAGAGGGTGCTCCTGGAGCCTGCAGCAAAGCACCATTAGAAGGCATAGGGACCACCCAGGCAATGCTCAGCCATAGCAGGGATGGGATTTTCTTCAGCCTTCATGTGAGCTTCCCTGTTGGCTGCCTCTGATTTCCACCCTCTTGGAAAGGGAGGCTCACCACTGAGTCACCAGGTGTGGGAAAGCAGGTAGCTCCATCAAACACCTGAGGTGGTGCAGGAGGACAAGAGGAAATGGGAACACCTGAAGTGTGACCCTGCCACAAAGCAAAGACATGAGTTGGGTTTGCACCATTCAGCATTGCACCCCAGGAAGCTCTGGAAACCCTTCTCCTGTGGGCCTTTCCATTTTTCACATGGAAAATGTGCACTATGCCCAAATATTGTCAGGAATCCCTGCTGCAAAATCTCTGCCACTCACAGCCTTGTGAACATTCAAAGAACCAGTATCAGCAGTTATTTACAGGAATCATGAACCCATTTCATAAGCTCAGGCATTTGGCTGCCATGGAAAAATACCAGTTTGAAATACAGACCAAGAAGCCATGGAAGAGAAGCTGTCACTTTGTCTTTCACACAAGTCATCTCTACTCCCAGGATAAGTCAGTACAGCACATACTGGCCAGGCTCAGCTTTGTGGTGTCAGGCAGGTGAGAAGGGCTCACAGGGAGACAGGTTCAGCTGGTTGCTCCCTCCCTGCAGGGCTCTGTGTGAGTTGAGCATGATTCACCCAGTCCCTTGCCCACAGCAGCTTCCCAGCCTGTGCTGCAAGGGGCAGGGGCTGCAGTGACAGTCCAGCACAAGGTGAGCTCACTGACCTATGAACCCACTGCCCTGCAGGCCTGTGCTGCCCACTGGGACTGTGCTGTGCTCACAGGACCCTCCTGCTGGGACTGCCATGCTGCTGCCCACTGGGATTGTGCTCACACCACCCTTCAGCTGGGACTGCCATGCTGCTGCCCACACCACCTCTTCCCTGGGTGGCAGCAGGTGGGGATCAATGGTGACCTCCAGCGAGGTGTACCCTGTTCAAGCACAAGGGAGGGTGGGGCTGGGGTTCAGAACAGCCACTCTTGTCTTGTCCTTCAGACATCCATAGGACTGCCCCTCTCCTGAGCCAGTGTGTCCTGCAGGGACAAGCCAGGGACTCCCAGGCTGCCTCCCAAATCCAAGGCAAAGAGGTCAGGGTACCTGTGCAGCTCATTCCATACGTTACTACACTTGTGAGACCCCGGTGCTGTTCAAATGGCTCCAGTAGCTACAAAACAAAAACATATTTTACTGGTGTTCCTAAAGAAAGAAAGTCAGATCCCTAGTCTGTGGGACCCCTCTGAATATGACCTTGTCCCTGTGGTTGCACATCAGCACAGACACCTCCCAAGCCATATTAGCTGGAAGCTGGATGGAGAGCAGCAGCACGGCCTCAGCTGCAGGCGGCAGTGGGCACCGGGTGCCCCCCATGACTTGCCACAAACGTGCTGCTCTCCTGCCAGGAGCAAACATCGTCATCCTCACAAATAGTTAACCTGCCGGGAGCCGCACAGCACTAATGATTTCACATTCATTTAATCAGCTTGGGCTTCCAGAGCGTCCACCTCAGGAGCAGGGCAGGCCGTGCACCCATGCTGCCCCAGCCGCACCCTGCCTCAGCAATCATTAATCACCGGCCGACAGGGAGCGGGCGGCGGGCGGGAAAGGGCCGAGGCTCCACAGCCCCCTCGGGAGCGGCGGCAAGCAGCGCTGACCGCTTCCCGGGGTGGCAGCTCGTTCTCCGACCACCCTCCCCTGGGAGGCCCTCTGGAGGTGGCCAGTCCTGCACGCACTGCCCTTTCCTCCAGGAAGGTCACTCAGTCCAGGGAACGAGAGGCTCTGCCTGCTCCTGGGAGCTGCTGGGCTGCGCCTGAGGTGGGGGCTCTGAGCCCCAGGAGCTCCTGCCTGGCTGTACCGCAGCCCTCATCCTCCGCCATGCAGCACAAGGCACTGTGGAGTGCTCTGGAGTACACCTGCCGATTGCTGGGCATCTCCACCGCAGCAGGTAAGAGCAGATTCTCTCTGTCTTTGGCACTAAAAGGCACCAAGTGGGAGCTGGGACCTCCAGGCTGCCTCCCTGCCTTTGGCCAGCTGCAGCCATGGCCCCTTCCTATGGGGAGGACAAGAAAACTTACCTGCTTTTGCTTTGGGACCCAGGGTGGGACAGTGGTGCTTGCCTGGCTAGGTTCTTTCCAAATGCTGTGGGAGGCACAGTGAGACATCAGAAAGGAAGGGCCAACATTCAGAGGGCAAGCTAATGCATGCCAAAAGAAAAAAAAAAAAGTAGAAAACAAAACCGTATTCTTCTAAAACAAGCATAGGTATAGACAAGATGTCAATGAGACTGAAAAGCAAAATACTCATGGCTGTGCAAAACTGCCGGGCTACACTGTGGGATGTGAAGGTGACGGAGGAGCTCCTTGTAGTGTGCACAAGGAGTGAGATGTCCTGTCCCAGGCAGGATGGAGAGGTTCTGTCCCAGCCACCATGGCATAGTTACAATAAAAGCACTGCTCTGCCTCTCTAGCTGCCTGTCGGGGAGCTGCTCAGAGCCGTTCAGGTTATGGCTGCATCACAAACACCATAAACTCACCCACCTGGTACCTGGGGAGAAGCATCCTCCCTCCCCCCCCCCCCCGCTGCCAGGGGCTGCTTTGGACCAGGGTGTTCTGGGTTTGGTGACACACCCAAGTGCTTGCACAAGCTGAATCATTTGGTTTCAGATGAAATGCAGGAGTTTTGAGCCAAGTGTCAGACACAGTGTCTCACTCAGGAGGGTGAAACGGCATTGCACAGGGGGCATCTCCAGGTGGGACTTGGGGAATCAGCTAAAGCAGAGGGCTCAGGGGTTGACTCTGGCACTGCTGCTGACTAGTTGTTATGGAACAGGACAGGCAGCACTCTCTGCCTCAGTTTCCCCATCAGTAAAGCAGAGATCAAAGGGTCTGATTTGTCTAAAGGCTGGACGGGTGAACCAGAGATTCCTGCTGAGAGGTGACTTGACGGGATGACTGTGGCTCCTGTTTCAGAACCCCAGGGATTTCAGTCAGACACTGCAGAGTAAGTCACAGCAGGCCCTCCTACCTTTGTATTTCCTTTATGAGCTGCAGAACGTCATGAAGAGGCACTTTGCTCAAACCAGGACAAAGTAGAAAGCACACAGGTCAGCTGAAGTGTGCACAGGTTCCCAAGGACACAGCTGGGGTGATGGAGGCTCTGGAATGTGCTTTAAAGGACTGATACTGATAACAGGCAGAGAGATCTAAGTCTCTGAGTTTATACAAACTCCCAGCAGATAAGTGCATGTTGTGATGATACTGCAACACTGGGAGATGGGACAAAGCTTTAATCAGAAAATGCAGATCACTTAATTTCTTCATCCCTATCCATTTGGGCCCCCATGAGCCTCACACTGCTCATATTCTCACTTAAAACTCCAAGGAAACTCATAGAGACCTTTCTGGGAGAAAATGTGGGCTTGTTGCCATGAGAAAACTGATGCTAAACCAACAAAATTGAAAGTAGATTACAATGTAGAAATGTGTTAGTGGAATATCATCTTTCTCTCCTGCATGTTTTCTTTTCATCATTTTGCAGCACATCTTTCTTTAATTTTTCTTTAAATGAGCATTGCAGTTATCTGTCTGCTTAGCATCAGAGCATAGAGGGCTGCACTTCAACTCCCTGTGCTTTTCTATAGGTCTGGTGCATTCCCAGTATCACCTGACTTTCCCAAAAGGCCCGTGAAGACTGAGATGTGCCTGTGTTTTATTCCTCTGTGTATTACAATGGAGTAAGAAATCAGCTTGATGCAGTGTTTAGTGCCTGATGAGGTGTGTGAGGCTTTTGAATGAAATGGAAACCATGCAGAAGAAATTCCCATGGGTTTTGTTTGAAAAAAAAACAACTATGAAATGGAGAGTGCATCAGCCTCGCTAATTGATTTTGAGAAGGCCTGCCCAGCTCTTTATGCTGCTAGTAAATACAAGTTACCCACATAATATAAACCTCCCCTTCCCCCAGGATCTTGGAGTGTATGGCTCTCTGCAGTGGTGAGGCTACAGGGCTTCCTTTGAATCAGAAAATGGCTAACTGGTCTCATGGCAAGTTAGCAAAGAGTTGTCAAACAGCCCTGTGTGATTTGCTGCAGGGTTTTCAGCATCTCTAGGTCAGTGATTCCAGGCCTTGTGTTTTTTGCATCTAGGAAAGATTTCCTACTTATTTCTTAATTCTCATGCTTTCAACCATTTAATTCCTAATCATGTGCCTTTAGCCACATGGTTTGGACAAGATCCAAATCAAGGCAGTGACTAGTCCAAACAAACACCTCGAAACAGCTCTTTTTTTCTTGCAGATTCTTCATCCAAACAGCTTTGTGGATAAAGCAGAAGCTGTGCAAAAGGAGGAAATCTCCCCATCCAGAGCAGAGGCTTGAGCTAGCAGCCAAGCTGTAGAATTCTGCATTCATCCACAGACTGAATGAATGAATGAATGAATGGGAATGAATGAAGTCCACATTTGTAGGGAAGATTATAAAGAATGGCCCTCAGTCACAAGATAGTAAAAGACAGTACTCTGCATGTAGGATTACACAACTCTTGCAGCTTCACAGCCCTCTGATGAGGGCTGATTTCCCTGTGCTCTGCTCAGGCCTGGAAAGGCAGTGTAGAAGGGTGGCACATGGGCCCCATAAGTTCCCTTGGCTGACAGGGGCCAGCAGTTGCAGGAGACACAGGGAAAACAGAGAGGGATTTCTTTCAGCCCAGGTGGGAAAGCTGACCATTGGTATTCACCTACACTTCAGTCTTGATGGACACTGAGATGTGTCCTTGTTTGGGGGCCTGGTATCCTTGTCCACATGGGGCAAACCACAGCTCAGAGAAATGGATCCAACCTGCACCTCAAACCTTGGCCAGTGTGCATTGAGCAGGAGCAGTGGAGAACTTCCTGAGCACCAGTGGATGGGTGGGGACTGCTCACTGAGGGGTGGAGATATCAGGCGCAGACAGGAGATTGCTCTGGCTATGAAAGCTGGATTTCATTCAGCTCCACACTGCTGACACTTGTGCCCTGTGAATTGGCTCCACACTGCTGACACTTGTGCCCTGTGACCAACTTGCTGCAGCTGGTGTGAGGCATTACATTTCTGCTCCATTCTAGAAATAATCTTGAAGGGAAGTGAAAGATGTTGAAGAAAATTTTCCATCCCCTGAAGCTATTGGCCAATCCATCAAAGATTTTAGCCTTGCTAATACTCTTAATCCCCCTAAAACTGACTCCCTGGTGCTCTGTACTGGCTGAGGCACTGAGAGAACGTTCATTCCCTGGTTTTAATCTGCCTGCTCCCATTATATGTTTTTGTGTTTGGCTAGCTAAAGATCCTGATGCTATGGCTACAGCCCTTCGTGAAGGCAGCTGGCACAGCTCCCCTGCTCTGCAGCCACGTGTTGGGTGCAGCAGGGAGGGCAAGGGAGTGGGGCTGGCAGGCACTGGGGGGACCTGGGCAGAGGAGGATGGGCAGTGGGCCTGTGGCAGTATGGCCCATCTCAGAGTGGAATGGTCACAGGACACTGCTGCTCACCTGCCCCAGCTGTCCAAGGCCAGCTGGTATTCCCAGAGCACCTTTCCCCAGCCCACACAGTGGCAAGGCTGCCATCACAGGGGTGCAGCTGGGATGGGTTTCAGGGCTCTGTGTCAAGGGCAACACTCAGCTCTGACTCTTCTGGGTGGGTGTGTCAGCATGAATCACCGGTGCTGGCAGTCCTGACACACTGCCCTGCATGGAAGAAGCTGCCTTGCTAGCCCCTGGGGAAATGGGAACATTCATCCTGGGAGCTGGTTACTGACCCAAGGGAACTGGGATTGAACTCTGCAGTCAGCATCTTTCCTGCCTTCTCTTTCTAGTGCTGATCGGTGTGGGCGTAGAAACCCTGCAGCGAGGACAGTTTAAAAGCCTGGCTTTCTATCTGCTGTGAGTATTTCTGCCCTTGAAATCAGAGCTGGCAGGGGTGACAAGGCCAACCCCTCCACTATATGTAGCACCAGATTAGACTGCAACAGCAGCAGGAGACAGTGTCCAAGGCTTTGGGTATTTCAGATCTCCATATTGAGTTTTCAGAAAAATACGCTATTTATGTTAGGAAAAGAAATGCTACTGCAGACTCAGGCAGGCCAGAGGCAACACTGGCTGCAAGTTGATTCCCCAGGGGCAGGAGGGCTGTGAGTTTTCCATAAACCAGATAAGCAGAGGGTGTTCAGACCCCTGCATACAGACTGTGTTGAGAACGGGATGGTAAATTCTGGCCCCCTGTGCCCTTTCTACCCACCTGCAGAACATACTCAAACACAGCCCTGCTCCCCTGACAGCTCTACCTTTCAGTTTTTCAGGGGTTGCAGTTGCTGTCTGTGAAGGCTTCTTCTTTATCAGTTTGTTCCTGGAGATGTGCTTCACGTGAGTAGACCCTGCCCACGGTGGGACCTCCCAAAGGCACCTTGCCCCTTACAGCAACACCAGATCTGGGGGAGCTGCAAGTGCCAGACCAAAGGTCCTGCCCCCAGTGCCAAGGCAAGTGCACTCAGACAGGGGGGAGGTAAATGGGTCCATGGGCACAACCATTTAAACCTGTGTTTTAATCCAGGCTTGTGCCCTAATTTCCTGAGCATCAGCACAACAAACAGTGGTCCTCAGCATCTGCTTAATACAGTGTGGAGGCACAAGGTACCAGGGTTGGAGGAAGACCCAGATCCCCAGGGTGAGCTTCAGCTCCCTCCAGAGACAGCACAGAAGTTAAGGCTAAAATGTCAACAATCCTTATGTCCTTTTCAGAGGCTGAGCACTGCTGCTGTCTTCTAGTAGAAACTCAAAAGTCCTCACAGCTTAGAGGCAACTCCTTACTTGTATTAGCAGGCACTTGGTTAGTGAGGCACTGAGATGCTGGCCTCTGGCAAATGCTCTTATCCCTGCAGGAGATGTTCAGGCTTTGCTTATCTTCCCTGAAAAGCACATCCATCTTCTGACAAACCAGACTGAAGATCTGCACATTTAGATGGGTCATGGTTAGGACCAAATCTTCTTGGCATATGGTTGGTGCCTCATGCCACAAGGACCTCTCTCTCTCTCCCCAGTCACAAGCCTGAATTCCTGGCACAGGCCTTCTGGAAGCGAGCTAGATGCCCAGGGAGCTTCCAGAAATTCCTGGGGTACACACTGCTCTCAGTGGCTTGCTTCCTGCATCCTGTCCTCGTCTGGCATGTCACCATCCCTGGTGAGAAGCTTGGGTGGGGAGTAGTGCAGATGGAAGAGGAGAATGGTCTGGTGAGGGGTGGGGATGTGCAGGGAGCTGGGCTGGTGGCACTGGGCTAGCCAGACCAAGCACTGCTTGGCAAGGCCTTCCCACAAGCCAGAGCCCACAGCCAACATATTCTTGTCCCCAGGGTCCATGCTGGTGCTCACTGCCCTGGCCTACTTCCTGCTGAGCAAGAGGAGGAAGAGCCCAGGGCACAAAGACACACATCCCCAGGCGGGTCAGTACGTGGACCCTTCAGGCACTGAGGCAGCCCCAACCATCATTGGTGACACTGAGCAGACCTACACCTTCCACGGGGCCCAGAGGGAGCAGCACCGCTCGCTTCTGGGCCATATGAAGAGCATCCTGAAGGGCAGCAAGGACAGCAGCTCAGCCCCAGACACTCCTGTCCAGCCAGCAGCCGTGCCAGCGCCTCGCAAGCAAGTGCACTTTGAGGAGAAGGTGGTGCAGATCATCCCCTCTGTCAGCGAGGACGTGGAGGATGTGGAGAGTGAGGCTGAGGAGACCACATCAGACACAACGCCCATCCTCACCCCACCTGATGCCCCCATCATCATCGCCCCTCTCAGCTCTCCTGGCCTCTTCTGAGCCCTCAGCAGGACTGAGGACAGAACAGCCTGCTGCTACCCTGGAGCAGATGCTCCAGCAGCCAACGGGCCCAAGGAGGTGGCCCTTATTGCCTTCCGTACTTTGGGGGTGACAGCTGTGCCACCCCCTCTCCAGGGGCTGCCTGCACTCCCTGGTCCCCTGCATTGTGGCGGCCAGGGGACAGGTGGGGTTCAGCTGGGGTAGGGCCAGCACAGTGAGGTTTCTGCTCCCACGGCCTCACCCGTGTCACCCCCTGTGCAGCACTGCACACCCCTCCGTGCTCCTCCTGACATCACAGCCACGGCATGTGCCTCCCTGCTGGCAGACTCAGGCAGCAGGAGTGGAGATCTGTGTGCCCTGGAGCAGCCTCTGCTGGGGCACTTGTGTCCCTCTGGCCTCGCTGCACATGGCAGAGCTCCGGGCTGGGCTGAATTCAGCACAGGCACTGCAGCCTGCAGGTTCCCTCTCAGCACCTGCACCTGCTGCAGTAGCTTGAGACATGCAAGACATATTTGTGAGGTGGGTTGAGACCAAGCACTCCCCTGGCATTAGCACCTGCTTAGTACCTTCCCAGGCACTCTGAGCCCAGCAGGGAAATCATCTCTGGCCTTGGGGACACCTAAGCAGGAGCAGAGGCCTTCCAGGTGTCCCCTGCTTGGACAGCCCGCTTGAATTAGAAGAACTTTGGGATGATATGGCAGCCCAGGTCCTGAGGTTCGCACCACACTGGCTCAGCAGACTGTGTGTAACTCCAATGTGTGTAATTATGGCCCCCAGAGGGAAAAGGCAATAATAAAATTACCATACTGTCCCACCAGTTTCTTCCATGCCAGCTCTTCCCTGAACCCCTTAATTCTGGCTTAATCCTGGCATAATTTCTGCCTTTTGAGGACCATTCAGTCATGATCAAGCATTTCCCTCCTATTCAGCTCCCACCTGAGGACATGTGGGAAGAGCTCAGGTGTCTGGGTTCCCTTGGACATGGGACAAGAAGCCAAACTGCCACTGCTGTTGGGATGAAAATCTGTAAATGCTCTGAGCCCAGACACATAGCACTGGGGGGAAGTGATGGAAATTAGAGCAAATTCCTGGGACCTGCTAGATTATTTATAAGGTAGAAGCCAGTTAACTGGCTGCTTTTCTTGTAAATACCTCATTTCTTTTATTTAAGATCTGATCTCTCCAAGAGGCAATCACCATGTTCATTTAGGAAAGTAGGTCAAAGTGTAATCAGAAGGCAATTGAGATAAGAAACCAGTGCTACTTTTTAATAAACTATTTTTAAGTGACTTCTAATTTGTGATATGGATGAGGAAGAAGATGAAAGATATTGACTCACAATATTTGACTGCCTGTGTTTAATACCAAAGCTGTTGACAAGAGGAGTTTATGAAGGGTTACACACACTTGTCAGTCCTACAATGAGACATAAACAGAAAACTTTTTGTTGCATCACCAACATTTAAAATATCAATCTGCTCTAAACATAATACATGGGTTAGAGACCTCCTGTTTCTGGCTGCAGAAATTAACCTCCTATCCTGTCATGGTGTGCTGGGGAAGAGTCACGTACACATGTGCCTTCAGGGTGGATTTGCACCTGTAAAAATATCTTCAGAAAATTATGCCAAGTTAACACTGCACAACTGATAGCAGCAAGCCAAGATGCAGCCACAGTTTCACCCTTCACCTGGTGTATTCATCACATTAGGAGAGAAAAAATAAAGCTCTTTTCCTCTAAACCTAGTGGCAAACATATCTGCACCAACCAAGGTCCCAACCCAGCCATGCTAACAGGATACCCACCCTGGCCTACCCTGGCCTACTCTGCCCAAAAAGGCAGAGCTGGCTCCCAGCTTCACCACACATCTGCTCTGCAATTAAAGCCACTTTCATCTGCAAAGTCAGCTTTCTGCATCATCCAAGGCCCTTCTTTGAACATTGCTTAATTAATTGCACACAGGGAGATCAACTTCATTGAACAGGCACTGCTCCCAATGTATGGAGCAATCTGCTGACTAGAGAAAGATTGTATTGCTGTAGACTCTTCTCCTTAGCAAAGCTCCTGGGCAGCCTGGGTGGGAACAGATGTTCTTCCACAGATTTCATCCCTCAGCCCTTGCTCAATCAGCCAGCCCCATGAGTTGTACCCGTGGGGCAGCACAAAGGGTGAAACAATGTGCTGGCAGCACCTTTGGCACTTGGAAGCTTGTAGGGAGCAAATTTCATTTCTGTGAAGTGCTTAAAATGCATTTGCAGTTTTTAGAGCTGCACAATTAAGTTTCCATTTTTAGGCTCATCTTTTAAAAGTCTGTTGTAGGTCTCCCTTCAGAACCAAGAATGGAGGAAGCTACAGGTGAGATGTTTTTTCAGGCTTCACAGAGCCAGCATTGGACCTGGTTGCTTTTCTTGCTTGCTCTCTTGTGTTGGCCTGGTTCTTCTCCAACCCCACAGCTAGCTAGCTCAGGAGATTAAGGCTGGGAAAAATAATCTTGTCTTTTTTGTGGTATTAAATTGCCTGTTCAGCTTAGGTCTGTGGCTGACTCACCCTGGAGTCTGCCAAGAGTTTGCATCCGTACTGGGGAAGTGGCTGCTCCCCCAGAGGCAGACAAGCTGCGCCTCAAACAGCACCTGAGCTGCTTCCCAGGTTCTCCCTGCCAAGGAGTCCATTTGTACATCCCCTCTCTGCTCCTCACCACCCATCCCACCCCTGGTGCCACCTTCTAGCTCCATCAGTGTACGGACCTGTTAGCCCAGAGGAACAATAATTAGGGAAAAGAAAGCAGGTGGCTATCTTCCTGGGTAATGAGCCAAATAAGTTCAGGGAGGGCCAGCCACAAATTAAGGGGATGGAGGATAAAAGAATCTCTTTCAGAGTCAGCAGGCTGTTAGAGCAGCTCAACTGCTTAGAGAAACAAAGCCTCAGGCTTTCTTTAAAACCCAGTGCAGAGGAAATGTTCAGCCTCAGGGGGTGTCAGATGACTTTGCAGAGGCCTCAGAGATTATTCACTCAAGTGTGCACTTCTCTGTTGGCCCCACTCCCTACGTCTAGCTGTGAGAGCCATCCCAGGGGCTACTGAAAGCACCAGAGATGATGTAGAGGGCTGTGGGGGGTCTGTATGAGAAAAGCTCTCATATATGCATGGTAATTGCAGGGAAAGAAAAAGAGGGAGAACTTGATGCTATTAACTTTGCAGTGCAGTGTATCTGAACATGAGCTGCCTGAACTGTAAGTCCACACACCACTACATGAACTCTGCTGTGTAATTTTTGCCTGCATTGCAAAAATTCATTACTCGGCTGGTCCATTGAGATTAATCCACTGAGTTAGAGTGCATAAAGCTATAAACTCCTGTGGATTCACATACTGAAAGGAAATGAGATGAATCATCCAAAAGAAATACATTTGTAAGGTAAAAACTCTGTGAGGTAATCCTGGCAGAAATTGTTTCCTTCAAAATTTCCACCAAAGATTCCCCTGCATCAGGAAAAGTTTGCCTGCTTTACATGTGAAATGGAATGACTCTACAACGCTACTTGACAGCCCCATCAAAACACAGTGAACTGGTATGTTGCAAACAGTTATTCCATTTTAAGTTTCATGTGCAGGAAAACCAAATTTTGGTGCAAGCTTCACTTTACAATTCCTCTCTTCTGATGCACAAGCAGCTGTTTCAGGGCCCTGGAGACCGGCACACTCCCTGCCCCACCACAGTGCTCCCACCTCGCACCAGGGGCTGGGATGGTCACCCTCCTAATTCCCCAAATCCCCACTGGGACTCTGGTCCCTCATTTCGCTGAGTGCTGCTTCATATTGGAAACATGGAAATTAATGTTTTACCCAAATAACAGCAGTGTTAGGAAAATAAAGCACACTTGGAGAGAAAAGTGTTCCGTTTCTGCAGTGTCAGCAATTAAAATCAAAAATGCCCTGATTGAGCCTGTAACTGCAGCACTCACAATCAGCAAACACCAGTATCAGCATCAGTGGCATTGGTGGCTTCTAAGTCAGTATTGAGTCATGTCCACATGCAGGAGAGGACCTGTCTCCACTAACACACCTGCAACCTTACCACTCTTCAGCCCTGCACCTTCTCCTGTCCCAGCCAGGAGATTCTCCTGTGTGCTGGGACAGAAATGCAGTTTCTGTTTTGGCTGGCCTCCTGCATTTCTTGCTGTGAGGGAAGTTACAGAAACCAAAACTAGATCCCAAACCTGCCTGGGATTTCTTGGAGCTGTCAGCTCCCTTGTCTGCTTGGCATGATGCAAAAGCAGGAATATGACTTGCAGCCACCATGTATCAGCTGACATACCACTAATGAGATGACTGCATAGGTTATATCCTAATGAATGTGTGAGGTACCTCTTGGATTCTAATTCTAGGCAATTATTCACTCAGCATGTGACTTTATTGAATCTTGTTTTGAGGCTCTAGGCAAACACCAGGAGCCAACCCAGGTCTTTGGATCACAGACTAAAGAGGCAATCCATATGTCAGATAGGAAATAAAAAACTAAATAAAAGGGAAAGAAAACAAAAAAAAGGAAAAAAAAAAAAAGGAAGAGTAATATTTATTGGGAGCTCCTCCTCAGCACATCCTGGACTTCCTACAGCTCAGGTGGAAGGTGAACAGCATCTTAACATTAATCCTTATCCCACTCTCCTCTCTTCTTTCTACCAAGCCACTTCTTCAGCTCAAACTTTTCCCCTCCAGAGCACTGTTTAAAAGGAAATGCTGTCTTGATCAAGTCACACTGAACAAAGTTGCATGCACTGTGACATGGCTGCACAGCTCCTTCCTGCCCCTCCCTCTCCAAAGCCCCTCTGTAGGAGTGGCTGTGTTTGGTACTCTCCAGATGCCCAACCTTGCTCGTCAGCCCCCTGCTGGCTCCGCACTCCCTGGAGACACACGCTTGCAGCTGCAGTTTTGGATGAGGCTTTCAACACTGCAGAGGGAGCTCACATCTTCCAAATTGTGCCTAGAAGGAAAGAAGGAAGCAGACACAGGGAATGTGCCCAGAAAAGAGAGACTACACAGCAGCCCTAGCTAACTCGTTATGTTTTTCCGGGGTTTTTTTGGCAAAGCTCACCTTCCAACTCTTCCAACTGCCTGCTGATGCAGTATGTAAAAAAAACAAAACAAAAACCCCAACACATAAAAATCATTTGTGCAATAAAAAAAAAGCAATTTGGGGGTTTTTTTCAGTTATGTTTTTGCTAGACTGCATTAC